GTTGTTCAGTAATATCTGATGGTTGAAAAACGCTCTCTGAGCACGCATCAAACCGCCAAGAGGAGAGACCAAATCCTGCTCGTTATGTTGTCTTGGAAACGGCTGATGTTCGAAAAGTGTTTTCGGATCGGTAAGCTGTGCGTTGGTTCATGAGAGAGAAGCGTGTGAAAGTTCTGAATGTATCTTTAACGTAGTGCATTTATCTGAAGACAATCTTGTGTTCTGCTTCGTTACAAGAGGGAAAGATTAACTCATCGTTCTATAGATTAGTGACAGTTGGGAATTATTGCTCAATTAAAAATCGTTCAGTGTTCAGTAAGCCGGAAAGAATTATCGTTATGCTAAACTGAAGTGTGGGGGAGTTTCTAAACTTATTTTCAGACCTTAATTGTTGAAAAACTATTTTTTTTTAAAAGTCAAAGTACGTTAGCTAAGCTATTACTCAGGAAAATGTTAATATTTTATAACTTGTTTTTAAACTGAAACGCACATCGTTGTTAGATAACTTGTTAGTTAAAGCTCAGATTTATTCATTGAGATTTCATATGTTAAAGAGTAAAAACTGGCTTCTGTAACTGATTTAAATTTTAAGAACTTTTCATCAATTAAAGCTTCTTATCACGACCTTTTATACCTTTTATTACACCAGGCCGAAGCCATCATGCACATTTGTTCGTTATACAATTTTTATAAATGTCTTAATGGCATTACGTGAATAAATTAGAATTATGAGGTAAACGAACCTATTAGCATTGTTCGGTGTAAAATGCTTGTGAAAAGCTCGGATTTAGAGATGAAACTCTCACAGTGATTATTTCAGAATACTTCTGTCTAAGTTGCCTATCCAAGGTTCGGCGGAGAAACTAAAAACTTGTAGTAATTATACGTTTTATGTGTTTAAAAGTCGGATTAACTACGCTGAATCATTAGTTAACTCGCGTAACGAGTGTTAAACAGCAGTAAAAAAAGTACTATTAGTTGTGTAACACTTGAATTGAGTGTTTCCAGTAGTAGTATTGTTTCTACTTTTAAAATTCTTTATTTATATTTTTTTTATTTAAGCAGAATTATACGTTTATAGTCGAACTTATTTTAATGTAGTTTTAATTCTGAAAAATATTGATTAATTTATCGTTCACTAGATAAAAGATGATGCTTATGATTTTTTATATAATATAGAAATGTTTTTCTTAAGCTGTTTATTGCAGATATTTCTTGCTTAGTGTTTATAATTCCTCGTGTAATGATCACAACTAAAACATAAGTTAGCTATAGTTCACTCTATAATAATTATATATGTATACAAAACTATTAATTTTTGTAGAATGCTAATTCATCTACGTGTTGTGAGATTTAGCTGTTCTCTTACTGCATATGTTGCTGAAGTAACAAAATACTAAAAAACTTTCTATCTGTTTGTTTGTTTTAAGTGCAAACATGTACGGTTGACTATCTGCGCTTTGCCAACAGCAGAGATCGAACCCCGAATTTTAGCTGAGCCATCGTTTTGATCACATCCGTAACGGTCTAAAGTGTTTCACTGCAGAACACAGAAATAAAACAGTGAAGGACAGTGTTAGTTAGATATCTTTACAATGAAGGCCAGTGATAGTTAGATATCTTTACAATGAAGGCCAGTGTTAGTTAGACATCTTTACAATGAAGGCCAGTGTTAGTTAGATATCTTTACAGTGAAGAACAGAGTTAGTTGGATACCATTACAGTGAAGAATAGTGTTAGTTAGATATCTTTACAGTGCCGTACTAAAATCCCTTACCTTTGTTCTTCTAATGGTTGTTTTACGTTCGTACTAAAATCCCTTAACTTTGTTCTTCTAATGGTTGTTTTACGTCCGTCTAAAATCCCTTACCTTTGTTCTTCTAATGGTTGTTTTACGTCCAAGCTAAAATCCCTTAACTTTGTTCTTCTAATGGTTGTTTGATGTCCGTACTAAAACCCTTAGCTTTGTTCTTCTAATGGTTGTTTTACGTCCGTACTAAAATCCCTTAACTTTGTTCTTTTAATGGTCGTTTTACGCCCACGATAAAACCCCTTAACTTTGTTCTTCTAGTGGTTGTTTTACGTCCAGTCTAAAATCCCTTACCTTTGTTCTTCTAATGGTTGTTTTACGTCCGTACTAAAATCCCTTAACTTTGTTCTTCTAATGGTTGTTTTACGTTCGTACTAAAATCCCTTAACTTTGTTCTTCTAATGGTTGTTTTACGTC